AAATCTCAGGGGCTGGAGCCTCGGGATTGCTGGCCCTGTCGTGGTACTGGTACTGCGTGTCGCACAAATGATGATGGCCGGTACCAGGGCTCTGGCTAGGATTTAGGCCCGTCTGAAACCTAAGTCCCTGAAAATTTTTCGTTTGAGCAAAATATGAGCAACTCTTGGCAGTCTGTAAAATTAGACGAACCAGAAGTCACAGTCTGGGAATTCAGACGAACAACAGACCAGAGCCCTGTTTGTATGTATACCATACAATTTACTTGTGTTTAGAACTTTCATTGCGTTCTAATAAAAAAATACCACTTGTGACACACAGCAGACATACTAGAATCACTACTGAGGGAGGAAGGACGGAAACCTACTCTGAGTCACTACTATCCCTACTGCTGCTGCTGTTGGGGATGCTGCTGCTGCTGCTGCTGATGTCTACAGTATCCTCTTCATCGAAGGGGTTGTCCAAGTCCAAGGGAGCTGAAGCCTTGGTCTTGCCCCTGCTCTGCCATCCACCTTCCTCAGCTTCCACCCTGGCGCTCTCCTTTGCTGCTGCTGCCGCAGCCGCTGCTGCCTCCGCTGCTGCTGATGCTGCTGCCGCTTTCGCCAAGGCTTTCTTTTCCTTCTTGGAGCGCTTCACCGGCCTTGAGCCCGCAGCCATCACCACCTCCTTGGCAGGTCTGCGTTTCTTGCTGCAGCGCCAGAGCCTAATCAACTCCGGGAAATCAAGGTCGTACTTCAGCAGGGACACCGTCATCAGCCCTGACAGCTTCGTGTCGCAGAGGTTGCCACGAAGCCAGCTCTTAATGATATTCTGGCGCGAGAATCCACGCTCGCACTCGACCGTCGACAGAGGAAGAACAGCTACAGCGATCCAGAGGTTCACAAGGTTCAGATATGCGTGCGTCCAGTCGGGTGTAGAGAGCATTTGCTTCAGTCCCTCTTGAAACTCAAGGTCGTTGTGGTGAGCGGAGAGGATGGTGGTGAAGTTTTTCAGCTCACGCTGCGCTTTCGCCCAGTTGACTCTTGAGGTAGGGAAGGGAAGGGGTTATAGCAGGGCTTATATTTTACGGGAACTTCGCACATACACGCAACGGAGAACTTGCTATAACACACAATAATCAACAAATATGCTATCTTTTACAATCGCCTCACCTGGTAAAGTGTCTGGCAAGCCTGGCTTCCGCTTGAACATGTCCCGCAGCATCTGAAGCCATGCGAGGCACTTCCTCTGCCGCTTGTTGGGCGACCGAGGGTAGTGTGATTGCTTGAAGAGCTTGCTGCCGCTCAGACTAGCGAGGTCCTTGTAGCGCCAGTCCATGCTGCCGAGAAGCACGGTGACAAAATCTCGAGCAAGCTTGAGGCACGCCGTCAGGTCCCCGGCGCTGGTTTGGCCTTCGATCTCGTCTTCATGTAGAATGTACTTGTGGGTCACGGGCGTCCCTTCTGCATCAGTTCCATCCACCGAAACCTCACGCCGTTTCGGATCCGCCCGTTCCTTCAAAAACTTGTGAAGTGTCTCGCTGCCATGCCCGAAGTTGTCATCGTCGCACAGGTAGCGACTCCTCAGAGCCATCTTCGTGTTGTCCATCATTTGCTGCACGTGTGTGACATCGACTTGTCAAGGAAACATAGAAGGCAGGTTAACATATACACATATGACTGATGTGCAACACATGCTATCACCATAACTCGAATCTTACATGCCGCTTTTGAAACTTGAGGTTGAGCATGTTGAGCTCCTTCAAAACATCATTCAAGAGAAAAAACAGGAACTGAAACTTGAAGGAGATAACAATCTTGTACGCCTTGCTATCATACTCATACAAGAATATGATCGCGGCAGGCAATGACTCCACAAGCCGATGTATCGCCGCACCACGCGATAGCCAGCGCACGCTGTGGATTCCTTGCAGTTCGAGATTGGTCTCGCAAAGAACTTCCTGCAGCTCCTTGAATCGGTCGTGTTGGTTGCTTGAACGCCCCAGGTCTTTCGCAAGCGAGCGGACGACTTTGTCAACAACTTGCATGTCCGGAACTGTCGTTGTTGCATCCTTTGCAGAGAGGGCTTCCCTGAACATCACAGAAGAACACGTATTAGCAATGACATTCGGGCTTGTAAAAGTAGGTCCATTAAAGCTAAAGTTACCTGTGTGCGATGGAATGGCAAGAGACGAGGTGTGGAATCTTGGTACGCAGGCGTGCGACGAGACCGTTCTTGTCGCCAGTCATCACGCTGGCACCGTCTGTGCTGATGCCGGATATCCGATACAGATCCACCCCTGAGGATTCCAGGTGGGTGAGGAGTGTCACTATGAGCGACCCGGCGTCGCCTTTGTCCACCGTCAGATGCGCGAAGAATTCCGTTGTGACTGCGCCCTCCCGAAGGAATGTGAGGTAAACGATCATGTGTTTACCCCGTCGCCTGTCGGTATTTTCATCCAGCTCAATGCCGAGGAAGGGTGAAGTGCGGATGTGCTCCATCTGCTTCGCCCTTAGGTATGTGACAAGAGTCTCAACCATCTGGGCGAAGCCGTACCTGCGCAAAACACAGGAAATAAAAGGGTTATTACACCTGTCAGTGTATAAAGGAGTACCGGCAAACACATTGCGGGGTGAAAGCGAGACAATTACTCAGAGTAGTACGTTCAGTTCTCCTGCAAAGGCATGTCAGGTGTGCCCTGCTCTGCCATGAATTCCACAAGAGACACAAACATGACAATTGGAGCGTCAGACTTGCATATATAATGAAAAATAGCTAGCAGCCGAATCAAGCGTCTCGCCAGTTCGTCGGTCGTCTCGTATTGTTCCAGAGTCTTTTGCGCAGTCAACTTCACATCACGCCGCTCCTTCTGGTTGACTGCAGCCTCGTGCTTGATGGAGTGTTGATGCTTTCGCATCGTCTGCTTCTGGATGTCGTAACCGCCGCTCCCATCCCGGCCGTACTTGGAGTTCGGGTCTGCATATGCCAGGCAGGTGGTGCACTTCATCACGGGCCGGCCGTACTCGTCCTCGCCAATAATCAGCCATGGAAAGTACCGCTGCCACTGCTCCTTGCATTTGAGCTGCAGCTCTTCCACCGTCATCACCTTGGGAACCTCTGCACTACTCTTTGCCGGAGTGGACTTAGGTTTCTCGGGGGTCACCGTCGCAGGCGTTGCTAGTAGCGCAGCAGGGCGAGCAAAGTTTATCTTGCACTGCAAGTATTTCGCTTTGCCAGGCCTTCTAGCAGGCAAGAAAGGGCTGGCGGAGGAGGAGGACGGTCCATTGGTCTCTACGGTCGGAGTTCCAGAACTTGAGGGCGGGGGAGAACGTGGCAATTCTCGTTGAGGCGACCACGGTTCGTGGTCCCACTCTTGTGGCAGGGTGGCTGGCGCGGCGGGTTCGGCGGGTTCACCTCGCTCTAGTATTGCTGTCGACGAAACTGGGGTGGGGGGTGGCAGTTTACTAGCGCCCCGCGTCAGGAAATCAAGAGCAGTCAGACGCGGGGCATCACCCGGAGCGGTGGTAGGAGATTGGCCAGATGGGCCAGGGTCTGATGCCATGACCATCAAGTACCAGGAGGTGCTGCAGACATGGAATTGGAAGAGTTGCGGGGATGAGCCTAGGGAATTGCACACAGCAGAATGTGACTGGGTAAGAGGGGCCTCCTGTAGGCAGATGGAGCAGCAAGAGGAGTGTAAGAGTGGGGTGGGGGGATGCCATCCATCATACTCGAGTCGCTCTACTCTGATGGCTTTGGAAGGTTGGGGGGAGGGGGAGCGCATGGCAGCGTGAATGTGTGTGCTGGATGGAAAACGCCAAGTTCCATAGGTGGTTCAAGCTGGCATTAGGACCAGGTGGGGCGAATCCGACAGAGGTGTGGCAGCTTCTGAGTCAGATGCCGATATGCGCTGGAGCTGAAGGTCTTGCGCGTGGGCGATTTCGACGGGGAAACAACAGGCCTTGTTGGCGCGTGGGAAAACTTGTCTGTTTCAGACGAAAGAAAACTCGTTTTCTGAATTCTCAGACGAAGTATAAGCCCCAAGTCTGCTTTTAAAGATGAACAATATAGGCCTGTCTGAACTTCCATATGGCCATTTCTCAGAAGTCTGAAAAAGCATACAGATAAAAAAACACGTCTGATTTTCAGACCATCAGACAGATTTTGTTTGATAACCAGAGCCCTGGCCGGTACTTATATACTGTGCTGGTACAGGTGCAGGTGGTGCACAGCTACTTATATACTCTGCCATAGATGGACTAACGTATTCGCTCTTGCATCTGAAGCTGCAGTAGCTGCAGGAAACGTCGTATCTATTGGCAGCAGTGGGCGAGGCTCTGCTCTGTGGGTCACGTGTAGAGAAGCCAGCTCCTTGTTAAAAAAAAAAAAAGAATGTCTTGTAATTAACATAGGGTATTCTAGTCTCCACTATCAAGGCTTGGGCCTTGCTAGCCCAGCTGTAATTTGGTGTACCGTACTTTGAGGGCATGCGGTAACAGCTTTCAGGTGCACAATGATTTCCGCACGCTTAGCTCGTAGAGAGGCAGGCTATGATGACCGAGCTTGTACTCAACTGCTCGTCAAGGCATGCCAAACAGAGGTTGCTTGGGGATAGGCAGGTACGTACGCCTCATCAAGGCAAACACACACAGCGATGGTCGTCTGTTGTACGCTGGATAACGTAGCCGGGTTGGGGACCAAGTGTTAAAGCCCATGTGGGACTGCATCACGTGGGTACATATCGTAATCTCATTTCATTCAACGCAACACACAGAAAACACACACAACCCACCACCATTCACCACTTCAACACAGCCAATGCCTCGTAGTTCCGAATTACGAAGCGGCAACAGCCATACGAGCAGTCTCGGTCCCAACCAACACGAGCAGCCTCACGCCACTAACTGTTAGTCAAGCAGTGCCCTTGGGCTCTTGGGCAGCTCACGCACACCCTGGGCGACTCACGCACACCTTGGGCGACTCACGCACACCCTGGGCGACTCATGCACAACCGGCACGTTAGTTAGTCAAGCAGAGCTCTCGCGCTCGCACCAGCAAACGAGCTGGCGGGCCCTAATTGGCTGACATCCACTGCAGCATCCTCAGGCACAGTCAGCCCCACCAGAGCCTCAGCATGCCTGCGGCTCCCCGACATGCTCCTTTCCTCCTCCCTCCACACCCCCCCTCTGCTGCTCCCTGACCCACCCACACTCACAAACCCACTCCTCCCCCCACCTCCCCCCCATCTCCCGTTCGCGTGTCCTAGAACCTCCCCTTCGGCTTCCCCTGAGCCTGCCTGCCAGCTGGCGCTGCCCTGCCTTTGAAACGCCTCGGAGACTGTCCCTGCCTGCCACCTGGCGCTGTCTTGATTCTGAAACGCCTCAGAGACTGTGCCTGCCTGCCACGTGGCACTGCCCTGTCTTTGAAGCGCCTCAGAAACCGACCCTGCTTGCCATGTGGCGCTGCCCTGAGGTGGAGCCTCCCCCTGCTGCGCCCGCGCGTCTGCCAGCGCGTCGCGCGCTGATGTGGCGCCACGTAGGCTGGAGATGTTGTGCACGTCAGCACCGGAGATGGTGGGGGCGGCGAGGAGAGAGGAGGCAGCGGAGCCGCCCTTTATGGACACGTCCTGGGGGCGAGAGGAGGGGCAGGGGGAGGGGGAGGGGGAGGGGGAGGGGGAGGGGGAGGGGGAGGGGGAGGGGGAGGGGGAGGGGGAGGGGGAGATACAGGGGGGAAAGGGAGGGGAAGGGTACAAATGGGAGAAGGAGAAGGGGAGGGGTAGGGGGACGGGGGTGACGGCTGAGCCACCCTTTGCAGACACGTCATTGGAGGGGGTGAGGGTACAATGGGGCGAGGGAAGGGGTGGGGAGGGCAGAGCTAGGGATGAGCAAGGGGCGAACACGAACATGTTCGTGTTTGCCCCTACACGAACACATCCGTTTGCCGAACCGAACACTGTTCGGTTCGGCGAACACTTTAAGCAAAAACACGTGTTCGCCGTTCGCCTGTGAAAGGCGTGTTCAGGCGAACCTCGAACACGTTCGTGTTCGTTGCGGGGCAAATTGCAGCAGCGGCCCGAACACGAACGTGTTCGGGCGAACCTCGAACTCTGTTTGGCGAACACTTTAAGCAAAAAATCGAGGCGAACCGAACAGGTGTTCGCCCTTGTGCTCATGTCTAGGCAGAGCCACCCCTTATGGACAGGTCCTGGGGAAGGCAATGGTAGAAGGTAGGGCATGGGTTAAGCCTAGTGGCTCATGGCACATGGTGCATAGCTCAGTCATAGCTCGTTGGCAATGGGTCATTGCTTATGGGGGTCACCGGAAATAGATGATAAGATGGGTCAAGTTTCTTGTATCACAGTTTTTTTTTTTTTTTTTTTTGGTTCTTTAACGAACATCTCACCTTCTTCCAGAAGCTGTGGGAGGATCGGCGCATGGCGTCATGGTCCAGGAAGAAGACGACAACGCTGATGTCATCGTGGTAATCCCGCCGCTGCCCGGACGGCATGCGCAGTAGGTCGTTGTACAGCATCTCCGTCTTCTCTGCCGCCCGCTGCAGCGCCGTCCGGATTAGCTGGCGAGCCACGTCCTGTAGCAAAGGGTGGCAGTGGTGGCATTGGTGGGGACAGTGGTAATGGTGGTGGTATAAGGATGGCGTCGAAGGCTTGAGAATCAAATTTTGAAGGACAGTCTTGGGCATGATAACAATAAAGACCTGCCTGGTTACACCATGGCTTTTCAGGCCACCTGAAAAAACAACAGCACCGACCTTCCTGGGGCTGCTGGCCACGATGTTGACGGCCTCCTGGTTGGAGAGGAACTCAAACAGCTCGTCGGAGGCCACGATGACATACAGCCCATCTGCACCGCTCTGCACCGCACCACTACTTGCCAGCTCACTAACCTTCCTAGGGAGGGCTGCCCGCTCACGGCTCACCTTCCTAGGGCTGCTGGCCACAATATTGACAGCCTCCTGGTTGGAGAGGAACTCAAAGAGCCCGTCGGAGGCCACGATGACAAACGAGTCGTGGGGAGAGAAGACGCGCACGGCCACGGAGGGGTCGGCGGAGATGAGCGGCGGGTTGAAGGGCTCGGGCACGCGGAAGCGCGACACCAGCGGCTCCCGGTTGAAATCGGTTGATTTCAGGTAGAGACCCCCAAAGGCCTTGGTGACCTGGGGAAGGGCCAGGGGTGGAGGGAAAGGGAGTAGGGAGTAGGAAGGAAGTAGACGCAGGGGTTGGAGACAAGAGCGCATGAAAAGAAAGGGTTGCTGTTGGAGTCATGTGGCGAGAAGATGCGCACGGCCACGGAGGGGTCGGTGGAGATGGATTGAAGTTGGTGATTTGAAGGTGGATATTTGTTTGAAAGTACATGCCTGCGGTGCGGATATGGATTTAGAAAGCTGCAACTCACATGCTTGCACATGTAGCTTGACAGAGGTAGAAGTGACTTTGTTCGGCCCCATCACCACAAATACCTCGTCTCCTCACCATCACTTTGTCCGCACCATCACTTTGCCCTCACCATCACTTTGCCTTTCACGCGGAAGCGTCCGCGGCGCTCAACAACGGCGTCGGGCATGTCGGCATGCTCCGCGATGTACTTCTCTCGGATGGCCGCCACTGACAGGTTGTGGTCCGTTGTTAGCTGCACTGCTCTGCACTCCACTCCATCTGACACTTGCCGCACCTGTGAGGAAGGGGTTCGGGATGGGGAAGGGAAAGGGGAGGGCATGTCGGCATGCTCCGCGATGTACTTCTCCCGGATGGCCGGCACCGACAGGTTGTGGTCCGTTGTTAGTTGCACTGCCCGACACCCCACTCCGTCTGATACTTGCCGCACCTGCTTGGAGGGGGAGGGGGAGGGGGAGGGGGAGGGGGAGTGGGGGGTGGAGGGGGAGGGGGAGGGAAAAGAGACACTGCGCGGTACTTGCCGGACCTGCTTGGAGGGCGAAGAGAGAGGGAGAGATGGGAAGAGGGACAGGGAGAGGGGGAAACAAGGAAGGAGAGGGTGGGAGGGGGGGCGGGGAGGGAGGGAGAGGAGAGACGTTTGACAGTGAAGGTGGACAGGACATCTGCACCTGGGCTGGGAGGGGTGGGAGGTCGGGTCGACCCGGGGGCGGGTACAAAAATACCCGATTTCGTCCGCGCTCTGCACGGATCCGCGATTTCGCCGGTCGATCTGCGCAGATCGGCGATTTCGCCACCCTAATCTGATTGCGCCACAAACCAAGTGAGGAAAGCCAGGCACCCCTCCCTCCCTGTCAAACTATAAATCCTAACCGATTCGCCGTCACTTACCACTCGTCACCGCACTGGATCTACAAAAACCAACCCCCCCATACAATTTCACAGATCTCGACATTGAGATATGCTCAACCTTAGTACCACCACAGCCCATAGCTGATACCCTCCACTCCAGCCCATAGATGGTTAGGGACTGGTTTTGAGACGTCTCAAAACTGGTTAGGGACTGGTTCTACCAGGCACCCGAGGACCCTTGAAGGTGACCCCGTGGAGACAACCTAGTGTGAATAAATAGGTGTGTTTAGAGCTTTTGTATCCCAATAGTGGTCAACAACATGTATGGCAAAAAAATGTTGCTTCTTTGCTCATGCCAGCGGATTAGAGAAGTCGAGAGGTGGTATGATCCTTTTCCCGTAGGGTAGTAGGACAACATCCTGAATCTAATGGATCCACATGGAAACGCCGCCTACACCGCAGAGCTGTCAGTCGATGTGTCTTGTCAGAGTTGTTGGTAGAGTTAGTCTCCGTTATCCAGGAGGTGACGACGAGGACTAAAAGGTCACATGGGTCGTCGACCAAGGCGCTGCTTTGCGTAAAGCAACGCAAATGTTACAACCAGACCCACAACTAGACACACCTGGCCAAGCACGGCGCGGCAGTCGCCAACATTGGCGACCCAGATGGCAGTGGGGGTGATGAAGGCAGCCACAGAGCACGCGCCCACCATGGCCAGGTGCGGGCTCTCCTCAAACGCCTCCCTCACGATCGCTGCCAGCTGCCTCTCCGTTGCATCAAAACCCCGCCGCAACGCTTCTACTGAGACACCATTGCCCTCGGTGCACTCGCCTGAAGACAGAGGGGTGCAGATGGGTGAAGAGGGCTGAAGAGTGGTGATGAGGGATGAAGAGGGTAGGGGGTGTGTGTTGGCCCCTTTGCTGACACAATGTTGCCCCCCGCGCACTTGCCTGGGGGACAGAAGGGTGACGAGGGGTGAAGCCGGGTGAAGAGGGGGGTGAGCGGCGGCAGAGTGGGTGAGAGTGATGACAAGAGGAGGCACGCGTTAGTGACAGTGAGTGACGAAGTGGGGCATCAATTGCAAAGGGAAGAGTAGTTAAGAGGGAGTGGGAGCCGCCCAACTCCATAAAGGGGGAGCGGCTCACCTCCACCACACAGCTTCACTCACTCCGCGGCCGGCCGGGATGTTGGCGGGCAGATGTTGTACAGTGTTTACTCACTCATGATTTTGTTGTACAGTGTTTACTCACTCATGATTTTGTTGTACAGTGTTTACTCACTCATGATTTTGTTGTACAGTAACAGTGTTTACTCACTCATGATATTGTTTTAAGTGTTTAATCACTCATGATATTGCTGTACAGTGTTTCACCCACTCATAATGTTGTTGTACATTGTTGTCGAGGTTCCTAACAAACGCACTCACTCATGATATTGCTGTACAGTGTTTCCCGTAGAAACTCCGCCGCCTCACTCCCATTGTGCCCATCGTGGATCCCGATGAACACCCCTCGACTCGACGATTGTACCTACACGCACACACACACACACCCCGCACGGAAGAGATTGGAGTAACAACACGCCGCCGATCAATGCTCAACAAAATGACTTGAACCACGAGAAGGGAAAACAAATAGAGAACAAAACGAATGAACGACGGGAAAAAACGACTTGAGAAATCAACGCACTGACCTCCACAGTATCCTCCATGATATAGTTGGCCTCATACATGGCCAGAGAGAACCGCCCTAGATGCGTGCTCTCCAGTGCCTTGTGCCACACGGGCCGCCGCGTCTGCCTCTCCCGCACGTTCCACCCCTTTGGGTGGAGGCTCTGTGCCAGCTGGCTCAGGCTACCACCCTTGCCGCCCCTGCCGCCTTTGCCGACCCTGCCTGGCGCCCCGCTTGGGCCGTAGCCGTTGTGGCGGCTGGTGTTCTTGGCGGCTGCTCGGGAGAAGAGCGCTGAGACGTGCTGGGAGCGGAGTGGGGAGGGGAGGAGGAGGATGGGGAAAAGAGAGATAGGAAAAAGCGGTGAACGAGAGGAATAGGCACTGGGTTAAGTGTGTGAAGGTGGTGAATGAGGGAATTGCAAGTGAGAGTGTGGTGGTGGCGAGTGGGAGAGGCAGGAATGATGTTGAAACTCATAACAGAGTCGGAGACAAAGCATGCAGGGTAACGGCTTGCATGAAACATATGAAGAGGATGCGACAAGAGAGAAGGTGATGTGAGAATGAGAGCACCCCAGATACAGATGACGGAGCAAGACAAGCAAGATGGGCAGAAGGCAAGACAAGCACTCTCATGCATCGATGGACATTGTCGCACAGGGATAAGAAACCCATATGCCAATCAGCCCAAAGCTGATGCTAGCAAACCCGTCCGTCAGCAGTCATCCCCAAAAGGACATACATGCCAGTTCGGCACACGCAGAAACCAATGCTTTATCCCCCACCTGCAGTTTGCGCCACGTCAGCAGCCTGCGTGCCATGGTGTCGCCATCCTCCACCACGTCAAACGCCTCGTCATCGTCGTTGCCCCCGTGGAATGCCACGTCCAACCCCACCTGTCAGCAGAGGCAGGGGGGGAGAGAGAGAGAGAGAGATGGACACAGGCAATGAGAGTGTACATGGAAGAAAGGTCGTGTTCTGTTTAGGGTGCACCGGAAGAACTGAAAAAGGAGCATAGGTGAAAAGTATGCATTTTGAGGCGCCTCAAAACTGAAACAGGAGCATAGGTGAAAAGTATGCAAATCAAGATAAGAAGAATGGAAACGAAATGCTCGATTCAACTGAAGGCAGAAAGAAACGAACCATGAGACAGTTGTGTTCCCCGATTCCCCAGAAGATTTCCCCTTAATCCCTTTGCCCCCTTGCCTCCTGCCTCACAAACGCCCATCCATGGCTTCCCCATCTCACTCACCTCCTCCTCGTGCCTCTTGACTCGCAGCACGTCAAAATAGTGCAGCGCGTAGAACAGGACAAACGATGTGAGGCCAACCCACGCGTACACCAATAGAAGGCCAAGGATCTGCAATCGAGGAGAGGGGCGGCGGGAGATGAGAGAGTGAAACAGAGAGAGATAGAGTGAGTGGGGCTATGGGAAGTGCGATGGGAGGGAGGATAGACGTGGGCATAAGACCCGACGGGTCGGGTCGACCTGTCCCGTCCCACATTTTTTGGCGGCACGGGTCGGATTGCCAAGACATGCCGACCCGTCGGAACAGGTCGACCTGTCCCGGACGGGTCGGGTCGACCCGCGACCCGTTTTACACCCTTTCGAACGGGATGGGCCGACCCGTGCGACCCGTAGGGGGAGAATGGCCCGTTCCGTATACAAGTCGTTAATGGAGAAAACGGGTCGAGTTGATCCCGACCCGTTTGCGGGTGGAATGGGACCCGCAAATGTCACTCCAAATTTTAGGTGATTGGAGGTCAACATTTGGAACCCCCAACTTCATATCTAGTTGCGACTAACCAGATCTAGTCTTACGCCTAAGCCTTACAACTTCTGCTACGGTTAAAGAGATTCTTTGACGAAGTAACTTAAGTGAATGCCTAGATTAACGCATTCCGTCCTACATCAGCCAGGGTCCGCATTATCCCGGTGCATCAGCAGCCGCACGCGACAGCGTAGAGCAGCGCGCGCCACTGCTCTTAAGGCAGCTGCGTAGAGCAACGCGCTCTTAACACTATATGTTGCATGTACACTTGGGAAAAAAAAACCATGTATGCTGCCTAAAAACCCCTCCGGTACATATGGGTCATTGATACCCGTCCCGTGTACGGGTTGACCTGACCCGCCACGGGTCACGATCGACCTGTACATGTAAAGACAGGACGGGTCACTAAAATAGCCAGGTCAGCCACCCGTGGGTCGACCCGACCCATACCCGTACCCATTGCCCATGTCTAAGGGAGGACAAGAAGCAGTACAGCGCACTGGCAACAACACTCCATCAGGGGAGGTGGAGTGTCATGACATGACATGACATGACACGACACGCCCTTGTGATTGCAAGTACCCCTTCACAGCAGCTGTGTGCTGCCACAACCGCCAAAGAGGCCCCAAGGCACAGGGTGGATGGGATCCACGATCGTTCAATGACTCGACTCTCTCTGGTGGATGGGATGCGCGTCTAAATACGAGAGAGTCAAGTCATTGAACGATCGTTGAAACGTTTCAAAAAAAGTGGATGGGATGTGCACTCACATAGGAGAGAGTCAACAGACGATCCTATAGAGGCACCTGCTGGAACTACGTCTGCACCCTCACCTGCACAAGCGAAACGCACCTCCACCAGACCACACCTGCACGAGCAACTGTGCGCCACCGCAGCCGTAGAAGAGGCCGCAGGGCATGGGGTGAGTGGATGGGACGGAGTGTGTGTTGGCACTCATTACTACCCACCTGCACGAGCAGCTGCACCAGATAACACCTGCACCCGCCCTCACCTGCACGAGCAGCTGTGAGCCGCCGCAGCCGTAGAAGAGGCCGCAGGGCACGGGGCCGGAGAACTGGTAGGTGCGCTGCACTGCTGCTGGTGATGCGAAGAATCCCACCGCCACACTGCCCCACGTGCCACAGCCCAGATGCACCGCCGTGGCCTGGGGGGGGCATGGGGTTTGGGTTGGGGTGGTACACAGGGCACGAGGTCAGAGAACTGGTAGGAGCGCTGCACGACTGGTGGGGATGCAAAGAACCCCACCGCCACACTGCCCCACGTGTCACAGCACAGTTGCACCACCGTGGCCTGGCTGGGGGGAAGGAAGGAACATGGGGAGTGGGGTGGGGTGGGAGGGACGCATGGCGATGGGAGAAGGTCGTGGAGCGACAAAGGAAGCCAGGCTGTCCGGCTGCCCAGCTGCCAGGGTGACAGGTTGCGAGCTAAGTGTGTGTTCGGCTAAGTGTGTGTACTGCTAAGTGCGTCCTGGGATATGGCCATGGGAAGCGATTCCACCATTGCTGGCGTACCAATCATGTACACACTTTCTCAACTCCGAGACGAGTTAGCAAGGATCCTTGCATACCACTCACTTTACGACTCACTGCCTCAGTGCTTAACACTCACTTGTAAGAAAAACACTGAGGCAGGGAGGCAGCGAGGCAGGGAGAATCGATTTAACGGGGTGGGCATTGCGCTGACATCCAGAACGCATTCGCACGTGACATGACATCCAACGCCATGCTTCTCTACCTGATCGATTCACCAGGCCTTTCTTCTGCTCGATTCACTCTCTACTGGCCTGATTGATGGATGGTTGGATCTAAACCTGGGAAGGCCACCACAAGGAGGAGTAGTGGCTTGCTTGCTGCGATCGAACCCGTTCCACATGGTGGCCTGCAACACCAATGGGAGACTCACTCACATTAACGGGGTCGTCAATGCGCGCCTTGTTCACCAGATACACCCCCCCCAGGTACACCACGCCCGCTATGGCCCCTGGAAGTGGAGGGAGGGAGATGATTGGATGATGCAAGCAGGAAAAACGGGTTTGCAGGTGCACTCGGACCAATGTGTGGTTGGGAACTGCCAGGTGTCAGGTGCCAGGAGACGGCTTTTGAGACGTCTCAAGATGTGTGGTTGGGAACTGCCAGGTGTCAGGTGCCAGGAGATGGCATCGCAGAGAGGAGTAGATTCGACCCCTACCACTACCAGGTACGATGCATCAAAAAAGAGGTAGGGGTTTTTCGATGCATACCAGGAACCAGGTGTTTGAAACTCAACCGACCGACCAACACATGAAGCCCCTTGCATGGAATTGAAAGGGCTCGGACCGGACAGACGACAGCAGACTGGACTGGAGCCAACAGCTGCTTTTCCAAGCTACTGCTTCATCAATAAGCCTTCTTAAGAAAATGAATCGCATGAATGAAGAACCCCTGGCCTGGCCCACTCAGCAGACTCACCAATGATGCAAGCAGCATATGCCTCGACGATGCTGCTCGTGGCACACGCGGCCACGAGCCCGCCAATCACGCCGTTCAGCGTGTCCTCTAGATTGGGCTCCTTGCGCCGGTACGTCACAAACCACACCGCCACGCCTGCAAAGGCGGCGCACACGGTGGTGTTGGCGCACACGCGTGCCACGTCAGCAACCCACACGGAGGCGGGCTGCCCCAGGTACTGCACTGAGCCGCCGTTGAATCCAAAGAAGCCCACCCAGAGGATGATGGTGCCCGCTGCTATGAACACCTGTGGTTGCTCACACGGAGGGAGGAGGGAGGGACGAAGGGGGGAAAACTTAGGGTGGGAAACTACTTGTGAGACATCTCACTTAAAAGGCATCACTAAGTGATGGTGGCAGCTGCTATGAACACTTGTGGGCGCACGCGGCACACATGTTAGAATATCTCTCCTCTTGCAACCTGCATATATGCTATAGGATAGGCTAGAGATAAGCACCCAAACTTATTTTGGGTGTACAAACAGGGGTAACCCAGTTTGTAGGTTGGAACCCAACCTTGGTCCAATTATTGGACACCAAAAATGTTGGGTTGGGTAGAATTATTGGCTCCCTCCAATAATGTTGGCCCAACCCCACCTTGGCCAACATTATTGGACCCCACCAATAATCACCCAACCCAACTTTTTGGTTGGGGTCCAATAATGCCAACCTAGGCTAGTATCCAAACCCCAACTATGTATACCCCCATCATTCTCAATCAAAGCATCAACTTCTATTCTAACTCTTATTTCCCACATGGTATAGAGCTCACTATCCTAGGCCTACTCTCGTTCCAAAGGCCCACCCGGCCACCGCAACCCCCGGCCTCCTCCCTTTTTCATTTTTTTTTTCCCGGCTCCTCCGCCACCTTCCCCCTCCCCCCCTTAGCGCTCTCCTTTTTCCCACAGCCTTGCTGCTGCCTTTGCGCCTGCCGTCGCCGCGGCCTCCCCAGCCGCCGTCGCCCGCGCCTTCCCCTCGCGACCTCGTTGTCGCCTCCGCGCCCGCGTCGTCACGGCCTCGCCAGCCGCCGCCGCCGCCCGCGCTGCTCCCCTCCGCGGCCTCGTCGCCGCCTCCGCGCCTGCGTCCGCCGCGGCCTCGCCAGCCGCCGCCACCCCGCGCCGCTCCACGGCCTCGTCGCCGCCTCCGCGCCCACGTCGCCGCGGCCTCGCCAGCCGCCGCCGCCCGCGCCGCTCCCCTCCACGGCCTCGACGCCGCCTCCGCGCCCGCGTCGCAGCGGCCTAGCCAGCCGCCGCCGCCCGCGACGCTCCCCTCCACGGCCTCGACGCCGCCTCCGCGCCCACATCGCCGCGGCCTCGCCAGCCGCCGCCGCCCGCGCCGCTCCCCTCCGCGGCCTCGACGCCGCCGCCGCGACCGCGACGCTGCGGCCTCGCCAGCCGCCGCCGCCCGCGCCGCTCCCCTCCGCGGCCTCGACGCCGCCTCCGCGCCCGCGTCGTCGCGGCCTCGCCAGCCGCCGCCGCCCGCGCTGCTCCCCTCCGCGGCCTCGACACCGCCTCCGCGCCCGCGTCGCCGCGGCCCCACCAGCCGCCGCCGCCCGCGCCGCTCCCCTCCGCGGCCTTGTCACCGCCTCTGCGCCTGCGTCCGCCACGGCCTCGCCAGCCGCCGCCACCTCACGCCGCTTCGCGGCCTCGTAGCCACCTCCGCGCCGACCTCCGCTGCCTGCGCCATTCCTCCACCTCCCCACCGCTTCCGCACCCGCGCCACAGCAGCCCCACCAGCTGCCACCACCTGCGCGCTTCCGTGACCACTGCGGGTCCACCCGCAGCCGTCCCTCATGACTAACCCCATGCCCTCCCCCTCCCCCCTCCCTCCTCCTATCGATACTTCCTCCATTGACAAATTACAGCTTGCAGCCGACAAATCTGCCATTAACTGGCACTCGTTCGTCGGCAGCATCCGACGAGTCCTCAACGATGCATGGATCCCCCCCTACCGCGTCCTTGACATCATCCTCCGCCGCCCCCATGCCCTCCCCCCCACCGAACCTGACCACCCCGGCAAGACCCCTCCTCTCCCTCCCCCTCCTGGCGACCCTCCCCTTGAGCCCGAGCTCCAGACCGCCGCCGACCAAGCCACCGCAGATGCAGATTTCATTATGCGTCGCCGTGCCTACCTCATCCGCAAAGCCGAGTACGATGCAGCAGCTGATGCCTACGCCCAGGCCGTTGCTGGCCGCAATGCTCACCTCGCCGTCGTCACCAAATACAACGACGATATGGCTACCTTCACTCCTAAGTTCATCGCCTGGTCAGCCGCTGACAACCGAGCATGCACCGTCATCCTCGGTGCTCTCCCCGACTCCCTCATGCGCCGCTTCCAGGCCCGAGAACTCCGTGCCTCAGTGATATGGGCAGAACTCCATGCTATGTTCGAACGCCGCGACATCAGCTCAGTGGGAATCCTCTTCCAGGAATATTTTTCTATTACCCTCGCCACCTGTGACGGAGCAGTAGACTATGTCGGCCGCATGCGAGAGGTAGCTGATCGCCTCGAAGCCCGCCAAGCCGGTCTCTCCGAACCCCTCCAAATCCATCGCCTCCTCTTCAACCTCACCCCAGACTATGAATCCCGCCTTCACGCCTTTACCGAGGCCAATCCCATGGCCAATATCACTTCTGTTGAACAGTGGATCATCGATACCGAAGTCAAGCTTCGCACCCCCATGGTCAACCTCGCCTCCTCCCACCCTTCCTCCTCCTCTCTCAACGCTACCCAGCCCCGCAAGCAGGGCAAAGGCAACGGCAAAGGGCGAAGTGGGGGCAAGGGAGGCAGCGGTCAAGGAAGCAGCAGCGCAAGCAGCCGTGGTGGCTCTACTGGGGATGAGCACGGCACCCCCAGTCAGGGCGGTCCCTCTGGAAACCGCGGACCCCGCCCTGGCACTCTCCCTCCCTGCACCTATGTCCGTCGCTACGGTCCCCGGGCAGGGACACCCTGCGGTCAAACCAACCATCCCCCTAACACTTGCTTCAAGGCTCTCGATGATGCCTGGTACGCACGGGGCAATGTTGGCACACCTCCCCGCTGGGGTATCGTCTCCCCGCGTCCCTCCCCTGCTGACATCCAAACCCACCCTGCTTATCTCCCCGCCCACCTCCACCTCCTTGCTCCCCCCACGCCGTTCCTCAATCTTCAGCAGCAGCATCTTCTGCAGCAGCAGCAGCAGCTGTTCCAGCAGCAACCACAGCAGCAGCAGCAGCTGTTCCAGCAGCAACCACCACAGCAGCAGCAGCAGCAGCAGCAGCCCCCATGGGGACCCGGGCTCCCACCCCAGTGGGGACCCAGCACTCCCCCCTGGCAGCAGCAGCAGCTGAACTTCAGCACGGCAGCCACAGCTGCTCAGACCTCCCCTACTCCCCTGTGGGGTGCCCCACCTCCTCCTGGTAGTATTGTCACTCCCCTCACCCAGGAAAGTTTTCTTGGCAACATTGCTCTTTCCCTCCACCATTAATGAAACCACTTTCCAGTACTCGGTGTCTTCCTCCTCCTCCCCACCCACTCTGGACTTCGTCCTTGATAGTGGGGCCACTGAGACTGCTCTCAAGGATGCTGGTACACTCACACCCCTCTCTCCTCCCACTCAAGTTCACGGTGCTGACAGCAGTTTCACCATCCCATGCACACATCTCTCCACTCTCCCTTGCACAATCTTCCCCTCCGGTAAGGTAACTGGTCTCCACATCCCCACTCTCCGAAACAACCTCCTCTCCCATCGGGAAATCCAGAATGCAGGTATCACTGCCGTCTATCCAGGTAATGCCACCTACTGTGACCTCTATCACACCGCCACCGGTCGCTTCCTTCTACGCATTCCCCTTTGCCCCCGCACTCGCCTCTACACTCTCCGCACCCCTTGGCCATCCTTCTGCCATGTCACCACTCGTGCTGGCACCTCCACTCACCCTTCCCATCCCCCTACCTCACCTCCACCCCAGTAGCAGCAACAGCAGCAACAGCAGCCGCCGCAGGGGCAGCATCCGCAGCAGCCGCCGCAGCAGGGGCCGCAGCAGCAGCAGCCGCCGTCGCAGGGGCAACAGCAGGGGCCGCAGCAGCAGCACCAGCAGCCGCCGCAGCAAGGGCAGCCGCCGCAGCAGCAACAGCAGCAGCCACCTCCCCCTCTCCCACCCTCACTCACTCCAACCCCCTCCACCTCCGACCATCTCTCCCACCCCGCTGTACTGCTACATCACCGACTCGGCCACCCCAATTTCGCCGCTCTCCGCACTGCCATCACCTCTCGCCTCCTTCACAGCCTCCCTCCCACTCTCCCTCCCCTCCCTTCCTCTCCAGCCCCTCCATGCCCCTCCTGCATCCACGGCAAACTCAAACAGTCTCCCCACCACAGCCACCCATCCTTTGCTCCCGCTCCCACCTAGTCCATATGGACCTCTGGGGACCCTCCCCCACTCGCTCCCGTCAGGGCCATCGCTACATGCTGGTCCTCGTAGACGACCACAGCCGCTACTCCTCCATTTTCCTCCTCCACACGAAAGACCAGGCACGGACTGTGATCACCCACTGGGCAGAGCAATGCCGCGCCCACTTCAACCGTCCCATCGGCCGCCTTCACTCTGACGGCGGCGGAGAATTCCTCAACCGCACCCTCTCCCACTACTGCGCCACCCATGGCATCCAACAGACCCACACCCTTCCCCACTCCCCGCAGCAGAATGGTGTCGCAGAAAGCCGCATTCGCGAAATCACCAAAATCGCTCGTTGCCTCCTCGCTCACGCCTCCACCCCTCCTTCCCTCTGGGGCTATGCTCTGCTCCATGCTGCCCTCCTCCTCAACCTTCACTCTCATCCTCAACACACTGCCATCACCCCCACGGAACTCTGGTCAGGCACGAAACCTGACGCTGCCGGTCTCCGTGTCTGGGGCTGCAAGGCATACGTTCTTATCCCTCCTTCCGACCGCACCCACGGCAAGCTCGTTTCTCGCGCCCTCGAGTGTGTCTATCTCGGACACAACCGCGACTCGCCTGGCTACCTCTTCCTCCACCCTCCCTCCGGTCGCCTCATCCGCAGCATTGACGTCGTCTTTGACGAAACCACCCCGTACTACTCCTCTCCACCACCAGACCCCCTCCCTTCTCCTACCCGTCCTCTCGCCTGGACCGACACTGTCCTCCCTCCCCTCCTCCCTCCTGCGCCTCTACTACCACCTCTCCTTGCTCCACCTCTACCGCCCTTCTCTGCTGACATCTACGATCCTACTGCACCTGCATCCCCTGCCCACTCCGCCGCCCCCCCTCTCCCCTTCCCCTCCTCCCCTCCCTCTCCTTCATCCCAGCAGCAGCAGCAGCAGCAGCAGCAGCAGGGGCAGCAGCCGCCGCAGCAGCAGGGGCAGCAGCAGCCGCGGCAGCAGCCGGGGCAGCAGCAGGGGCAGCTGCTGGGGCAGCAGCAGGGGCAGCAGCAGCAGGAGGAGCAGCAGCCGCAGCAGCAGCAGGGGCTTCAGCAGCACCAGCAGCAGCAGCGGCGGAGGGCGACTGCCCGCTCCTCACCCTTCCTCCTCCCTCGCATGCACACCCGCTCCCTTGATCCCATCCTTGGCACACCGCCTTCTCCCTCCCTCAACCTGCTAGAGGACTTCCATGAGGAACTCACTATGGTCCAGCGCCACACTCCCTCTCTCACCCCCCTCTACCCTGGCTTCCTCGGCGCTCTTATCCTTGCCGCAGTCTCCGCTCCCACCATCTTCGTCCCCTCCACCTTCCAGGAAGCTATCACCTGCCCAGATGCCGACAAATGGATAGCCGCCATCTTCCTGGAATGTGAGGCCTTCATCCGCAACGACTCTTTCATCGACGTGCCCCTCCCTCCTGACGCCAACCTTGTCGAGGGCAAGTGGATCTTCCGAGTAAAGCAGCTGCCGGGAGAAGAACCAGTCTACAAGGCCCGCTATGTCGCCAAGGGCTTTACACAGACTTGGGCTGAGGACTACTGGTTCACATTCGCCCCTACCGTTAAGCCACCTACCCTTCGCGCCCTTCTCGACGTTGGTGCGCGCGACAACATGGAGTTTGACTCCATGGACGTCTCCAACGCATTCTTGCAAGGCGAGCTGCACGAGCGTATTTTCCTACGCCGACCTCCCGGGTTTCACGCTGCTTTCCCCGGCAATACCGTCTGGCAACTACGTCGACCAGTCTACGGTCTGAAGCAGGCACCACGAGAATGGCATGCAAAGCTGTCTGCCACTCTCCAGTCCCTCGGTTTCTCTGCCTCCCACTCCGATGCCAGCCTCTTCATCCGCTCTTCCCCTCGTCGCTTCTTCATCTCGGTCTACGTTGACGACATGATCCTGCTTGCTGATTCCAGGACCGACATGGACCAGGTGAAGCAGTCCCTTCAGGACCGTCTCAAGTGCAAGGACCTTGGTCCGCTGCAGAACTACCTCGGCATGACCATCACCCGCGACCGATCCGCCCGCACCATCACCCTCTCCCAGTCCCATTACATCGGCCAGGTGCTGGAGAAGTTCGAGATGGCGCAGGCCAAACCGGTCTCCACCCCCCTCCCCTTCGGTCACCAGCTGGCGCCACCCACCTCCCCCTCCGCCTCCTCCCGTCCCTATGCCGAACTCGTCGGGTCGCTGATGTACGCGATGATGTGCACTCGCCCCAACCTTGCCTACCCCATCAGCGTCCTCGCTCGGTTCGTCGGCTCCGGCCGCCACACTGAGGAACACTGGACTGCCGCCAAGCGAGTTCTCCGCTACCTCTGAGGCACCAAGGATCACGCCCTCACATTGGGTGGTTCCTCCCCTCCCCTTCTCTCTGGCTTCAGTGACTCCTCCTGGGCGGACTTCCAGCCAGACCGCCGCTCCTCACAAGGCTATGGCTTCACGCTTGGCAGCGGGCTTATCAGCTGGCATTCTACTCGCTCATCTGCCGTTGCCCTCTCCTCCTGCGAAGCCGAACTCTATGCTGGCACCATGGCTGCACAAGAGTCCCGTTGGCTCTGCTTTCTTCTAGTCGAGCTTGGTGCCCCGCAGCGCTGTCCCACACTCTGGTGTAACAATGCCAGCACCATCCATCTCACCCAGGACCCAGTCTTTCACGGCCGCTCCAAGCACATCGAGCTCCGCTACTTCTTCATCCGTGACCTCGTCCAGCAAGGCCTCGTTGCCGTCCGCAAGATCGCTGCTGCGGCCAACTTGGCTGATATATTTACCAAAGCCCTTCTCCGCCCTGCGCACTCTGCTCTTCTCCGTCTCATTGGCCTCGCCCCTCCCGGCGTGCCTTGATTCAGGGGTTGCTACTCTCCAGCCTTTCCACATATCTGCAGGTTACGGGGTTGTGTTAGAATATCTCTCCTCTTGCAACCTGCATATATGCTATAGGATAGGCTAGAGATAAGCACCCAAACTTAGTTTGGATGTACAAACAGGGGTAACCCAGTTTGTAGGTTGGAACCCAACCTTGGTCCAATTATTGGACACAAAAAAGGTTGGGTTGGGTAGAATTATTGGCTCCCTCCAATAATGTTGGCCCAACCCCACCTTGGCCAACATTATTGGACCCCACCAATAATCACCCAACCCAACTTCTTGGTTGGGGTCCAATAATGCCAACCTAGGCTAGTATCCAAACCCCAACTATGTATACCCCCATCATTCTCAATCAAAGCATCAACTTCTACTCTAACTCTTATTTCCCACAACACATGGAGGGAGGAGGGACGAGGGGGGAGAGGGGGGGTGGGACACAGCAATGTAGCACACAGGGGGCACACCAATGTAACACGCAGGGGGCACAGCAGTGAAACACGCAGGGGGGCCACAAGGGAGAAAGTAAAGGATTAACATGCAAGGGGGATGGAACATGAAGGTGGATCCGGCATGTACCAGAGAGAAGAAAACGTGGAAAGCAAAGGCTATATATTGACAAATATTTACCACAATGTTGCACTCGTATCTTACCAAGGAGTGCCCTCTAAAAGGTACAACGCGGCCATCAATATCAAATCTTCCAATCCGTGGACCAACCATCCATGCAGCAACCAATGAGGTGACGCCACCTGTCACGCACATGCACGGCACGGAATCCAAGTGGTTAACTAACAGCATACGACACTGGACGCTAGTCAGTAGGACCTAGCAATGCCAAGAGTGTGCTTTTGCTTGAATAAGCACGAGTGACGTGCCCATTGCCCACCCACCAGTGACGTGAACAACCATGGAGCCGGCCTTGTCGAGCACGCCACGGGTGCCCAGCACATGATCGCCCGCATCTGCTGACAGCTACTGTGCTTTCCACCCACCTGTGCCATGCCATGCCCACTCACCCACCTGTGCCATGCCATGCCCACTCACCCACCTGTGCCATGCCATGCCCACTCACCCACCTGTGCCATGCCATGCCCACCCACCCACCTGTGCCATGCCCACCCACCCACCTGTGCCATGCCCACCCACCCACCTGTGCCATGCCCACTCACCCACCTGTGCCATGCCCACTCACCCACCTGTGCCATAGCCACCCACCCACCAGTGACATGAACAACCATGGAGCCGGCATTATCCAGCACGCCACGGGTGCCCAACACGTAGTCCCCCGCATCAGCTGACAACAGCCCATGGTGCGACCAGATGATGTGTGCGATGACCGGGTAGATGATCGCTGCCAGGAAGAAGCTGGTGGGGGGGGGGGGGAGGGGGGAGGGGGGGGGTGAGGGAGTGTGAGTGAGGGCTCAAATGCACACGACTTAGCTAGCGAGCTCGCAGCCACCAGGTCACTATAGGTATAGCCCATGGTGCGACCAGATGCTGTGTGCGATGACCGGGTACATGATCGCTGCTAGGAAGAAGCTGGGGCCGTGATGGAGGGAAGGGGGGAAGGGAAGGAAAGCACGGGTTTGGGAGCACGCAGCTTCGGTTGACCCGGCAGCCTATGTTGCAGCAAGGGAGAAGCTAGAGCAGCATGGGTATCCCCGGCCGCCTATGGCTGGGCTGGGCGGGCAATGAGGTTTCGAGGCACCTGGAAAGTTGAATCGGAAGGTGCGTATATGACAAAGAGGGTTGAGCTCTGTCGGACTGGGTCGATGATGGATGAATGGCATGCGTGTAAAAAAGCTCTCGAAAATGCCTACTGACACGGCGGATGATGGCCGTTAGGAAGGAAGTGAGGAAGGGAGGGAGGGTAAAACATAGGGGCCTTGTTGCATGGTGAATATCATGGTGCACAGTGCAACACAGAAGAAGTTTGGATTCAAACTGTTCCCACCCTAACATGGATGCCGTGAATACAAAAGGGAGCAAGGGAGGGGGTGGAAGTGATAGAGGGTTGTGAGAGGTGTTTGTGGGAAGGGTGAACGATGAGAGCTGGGGTAAGAGGCGAGGTGGTCACTTGAAAAAGAGGTAGGCGGTGATCTGAGTCCTCTCAGCCATGGAACCAGCAGAGATGGTTTTTTAGTCAACTCAAAACTCAGCCCAGAAGTCAGTTTGAGTTGACTGATGAGAAGGAAAGGCAGCTACTTGAAAAAGAGGTAGGCGGTGATCTGAGTCCGCTCGGCCACAGCACCGGCAAAGATGGTGGCGCTGGTGGCGCAAAAGACAAAGTTGAAGAAGAAGAGCGTCCCACTCTCGTGGGGCACCACTGCCATCGACACCTGGTGTGTGGCAAGACATGGAGGGATGGAAGGCATGGGGCATTGAGCATGGGCCATGAGGCATGGGCAATCGCAAGTGGCACGGCACATGGGTGCACGCGGCATTACATGGGAAGAGCATGATGGGAGAAAGGCATCATGGGGAGAGAGTGGCAGCTAGGTAGGAAGACAGCATGGGGGGAGAGTGAAACGCAGAATGGGAGCAGACAGACAGCCAGCGAGTTCCCTAATGACAACGTAACGTAACACATGCATTCAACAAACCTCACACACCTGATCGAATCCGACTTGTCTCCACATCAACACTTGCCGAGCCTGCATAGATCACAGCGAGCCTGAAGGACCGTCTTTCCGAGCTTGAGAGCCTTACCGACCCTGGGCACCTTACCACGCCTGAGTGCCTTTGGGTTGGGCCTGAGTGCCTTACCAAGCCTAAGCGCCCTGCCAAGCCTGAGGGACTTACCATGCCTGAGGGCCTCCGAGCATGTGCACCTTACCGAGCCAGAGATTCTTACCGAGCCTGAGGGACTTACCGTGCCAGAGGGTGTTTGCCAGCCAATGAAATCAGAGCCGCTGCCAAAGCCGATGGCAAAGCCAATGAGCCAGAAGGCAATGGCGCTGACACACATGTCGAGCACGTTCTTTATCATTATGTTGCGCGTGTTCTTGTAACGAACGGTGCCCGCCTCTATTAAAGAGAAGCCGAGCTGGGAGGGTTGGATGGGAGGTGGAAAGAGGAGGTGGAAGGGATACGGGCGATGGCGCTGACACACATGTCCAGCACGTTCTCTATCATTATGTTGCGCGTGTTCTTGAAACGAACCGTTCCTGCCTCTATTAGAGAGAAGCCGAGCTGGGAGAATGGGAGGTGGCAGAACGAGGAGGTGGACGGGATATGGGCGACGGCACTCTAAAGCGCATTCGTGATCATGATGTTGTATGTGTTCTTGTAACGGCGCCTACCTCTATCAGGGAGAAGCCGAGCAACGCAGTGAGAGAGTGGGTGCACAGTGAGAAAATGAGTGTATCATGGGATGGGCGCACGAGGTAGGGTGTTTTTTTTTTTACTCGGAGATACCTCATCATGCCGCTTACACTGATAGAGACAGGCACATGTTACAGCAAACTCAGTGTAAGCCAGGACCTTGCCGGTCTCTATCAGTGAGAGGCCCAGAATCTCTAAGAACTCTCAGACGCCAAACTGAGTGGGTGTTGTAGTGGGTGAGTGGGAACATGGTGAGATAGCAGGTGCATGGGAGCACACGGTCAGAGCGTCCTTTAAGGATTTTAACCAAGAATTACAGTCTAGGGTGAGAGAATGGGATGATGGGATGCTGGATGTAAGCAAAGCACGTGACCTAGGAGAGGGGTCCTTCGCTGCTAAAACTACAACCGCTGCTGTCCTCTGCGACATCTCTGCTACAGCAACTTCTGTCCTCTGCGACATCTCTGCTATAGCAACTGCTGTCCTCTGCGACATCTCTGCTACAACCGCTGTGCTGCTCTCTGCTACAGTCAGGCTGCTTGACAATCAGGAAAGCCAGCCTCGTTGCAGTTTGAAACCTAAGCCAGTGCATGCTAGCACCCCAACCTCGCCAGGGTGCGTGCGACGCTCGCTATCACTGTCGCCAGGGTGCGTGCGACACCCTGCGACGCAATGCGACGCTGCGAATCACCTGCATGAAGAGCACGATGAAGGCGGCCGTTATCCGCCAAACGCCCGTCGTCAGACGCACGATGTTCTTCGCGCGCTCCGCTACGCTCACCCATTCCGCCTCAACCGCCGCTAGTTGCGCTAGCATCTCCGCCATAGCCACCTCCGTTACTGTCGCGTTCGACATTGTCATATTCGCGGCTGGCGAAGCCATTGTGTCTGTCGCCAATACCACGTCTTTAAGAAAGTTTTCTCATCGTCGTTCTCCAAGACGCCATTGGACCGAGTTATCGGCAAATTCTATGGTCCACAACTGGTCGTCTCATGCCTGAACTGCCGTCAGTGAAGTTAGTTGCTCCAGGAACTGACCAAGCTGCTGCCGTCAGGGGGGAAGAAATAGGAGGGCAGAGCAGCAGCAGAGGCTTTCGCTCTGCGAGCTGGGTGTTTCTGCTTCGCGAATAGTGGCGAGGAAACTGTTACGCGTATGGTAACACAAGATTGTAAGTAGTATTCCAGTAACAGTGGATCCTATAGCCATTACGAGGGTTAAAACCCGCGGGCCAAGAAGTTCAACCTTAAGAAGGTTGGTTGGGGCGAGCAATGCACTTGGCCAAGATTTTGGGTGTCAGGGCCAAACTCAACCGAAGTTAGGAAGGTTGAACCAATTTAGACCTTCTTGGCCAGGCCCCACGATATCAGGGTAAAACATCCTGATTACCCTGATTTCAGGACAGTGTCAGGAGTTTTCCCTGCAATTTCAGGATGATGGTATATTGTACCCTGTGACTTTATGATAAATTTTCGTGTTGAGCCCTCAAATTTCAGGAAGTCCGTGAGATTTTGCCCTGAAGCATCGGGGCGAAGGTCGAGGACTGCCCTGGCGCATATGCAGAAGGGGAAGGGGTGTGGGGGGGATGGGGAAGAGGGGGGAAGGGGCGGGGGGGTGTGTGTACTGGTTTTGCCTCCTCCCGAGGATTTTGCCGCTTCCTCGTCGTACTGTACTATGCGCGCACCGGGCTTCCCACTCATATCGTGCCTTCCCTTCCACCTCTCTCATGTCTTGTGATTTTTTTGCCCTGAGAGATCAGAATGAACTCCTGTTGGTGCCCTGAAATTTCAGGATGGCCATACAATTTTGCCCTGAAAAATCAGGGCATTCTTGAGATTTTTCAAAAGTTGCCCTGAGGGCTCAGGATGCCCAAAATCCTAGCACAGGCCCTGTTCTTGGCCCTCCGGTCCGGTTTTAAACCTTGGAGGTATTCTTTTGAATGCTCTGCTGCAGACCATAATGTACAACTAAGGGCGAATTCCTGGGTCCGGACACCATCCGAAGTTGGGCCACGCGGTGCGCAATTTCCAAAACCACATTTGAATGTTGCCCCATGCGGTTCAGGGTATAGACACCTTCAAAACTGACGGCCACGGAACTTGCTGTCAAACTATATGTTTGTATTCTCTCTAGGCTATAGTGGGTTAGCCTACAAAGGGTACAACACTTTCAGGTTTGTACTTGTACCCGACTTATTTATAGTTAATTCATTCTTGCACAGAGATTCTGACATGGTATCAGAGCAGGAAACCTGTTAAGTTTTTAGGGCCCACTGATAGTTCCGCTTGTTGCTAAACAAAGCGCCCTTGCGCTGTCGGGCCCTGCTCGCACAGTGTCGCGCTGCCCTGCAGCTACTCGCACTGCCTGCCCCCCGCACGTCGCGCTCTGCTACAGCCTGCGAGTCGCGCCCTGCTGCCCTGCCCAGAGCGCGCCGCCCTGCCCTGCAGCCCGCGCCCAGCTGCCCTTCAGCCCGTGCATCGCGCTGCCCTGCCCTAAGGCCCCCGCGCCGCCCTGCCCTGCAGCTCGCGAGCCGCACTACCCTGCCGTGCAGCCCAGTGCATCGCGCCCTGCTGCCCTGCCCAGCGCGTCGCGCCCTACTGCCCCGTGCGTCGCGCCCTGCTGCAGCCCGCGCGCCGCAATCTGCTGCTCCACACGTCGCGCCCTGCTGCCCTGTGCGTCGCGCCCTGCTGCAGCCCGCGCGTCACGCCCTACTGCAGCCCGCGTGTCGCGCTCTGCTGCCTCGCGTGTCACGCCCTACTGCCCTGCACAGCGCGCGCCCTGCTGCCAGTCCTACAGTCACTCGTCTCCTTGCTACTGTCGTCACTGACCCTGACCTTGAGTCTACTGCTGCGTTTTCCCTAGTCACTAAGCTAGTCGACTTTCCTTCTACCCGTCGTCTCGACTACATCGCGAGTCTTGTTACTGAGTCTGAGTCTGCCTGTCCTCCGTCCGTCGGGGGTGAGCCTGCCCTTAGCAGTGACGTCCTTGAGGACAGACAGTTTGAGCTTGAGTGTCTTGCGGCCGCTTTACCTTGTTTCGCATCCATGCTGCTTTGCCCTGAGGGAGACCCGGATGCACTTGACATCCCTACCCCGCGCTCTTACGCTGAGGCGATCGCGGGTGAGTACTCCTCTCAGTGGCAGACAGCCATGGACGTAGAGATGGCTTCCTGGAAGTCCACAGGCACCTACGTCAGGTTCTCCGCTTGCCTTCAAGGCGCATTACGTTGCTCGAGGCTTCAATCACCGACGGGGGGTCGACTTCTTCCAGACCTTCTCCCCCACCCTGAAGATGACTACTCTTTGGGGTGCTGCTGCACGTTGCAGCACAGCGTGACTACGAGCTGCAATCACTCGAGTTCTCCACAGCTTTCTTGTAGGGCAGCCTTCACGAGGAGATCTCGCTGCGCCGCCCACCTGGCTTCACTGGGTCGTTTCCTGCGGGTACCCAGCGGAGCCTCCGGCGGCCAGTCTACGGTCTCCACATGGCTTTTTGTCAACCAGAAGCGACGCAAATCCAAAGCGGGTTTCGGCACAGCAACTTGAGTCTCGGCTTTGATGCTATAACGAAGATTATGAAATGTCGCATACAATCAAGCCATTTGCATTGATCTGATCACATTCCATTTTCCTCAGGCTCAACAAACGATTCAGAATTATGTACACAATAAATGCGCATAAAGATATTTTTGTGCCAATCCGACCCAAGTTTCGTAACTCCTTACCATATACCCTAATTATATCAGCTGCGACTTGGAGTACCGTATTTATACCTTACAGCCGAATGCCCACGCAATGCAACGTCCATTCCATTTGACTTACCGGTACCGTAACTTCTTCAGCTTGTCAACATGGCAGGCAGTGTATGAGCTCTTGGTAAACCCAATGGCACCTCTGGTGTTGAAATATGTCAACCGATTTTCTCGATAAATATTGTAAAACCTGGAGCCCCATAGCTCAAGCAACATAGTATTTCTTCCAACACCTTAGAGCTGGTATAGGTATGACTGATCAGTCAAATCATCCTTTTTGGCACTACCAGACCGACCTGTTGCCATACCTACAACAGCGACACGGGCTTGAGCTCTATCTTTAGGTCCGGTGTCGAACCAAATACTGGCAGGTCCCTGGGTCCACATTCAGCACACTGGTCGCACCGGAATTGCCTGCTGAGCCTGCAGAATAGGCTTGGGCCGCAGATACGGCAGCCAGGTCTGGGGAGGACTGGAGTGCGTCGAGAATCATCTGAAGGAACAAGCGGTGCCTATTAAAGCACACATGGGAGCAGGCGGATGGTAAGAACAATTTGCTGAACTCGAACGGGGGATGGGTAACGGTGTGTGCAGAGAGGAATGGGTGCAGATGCGTATCTAAGTGCAGGTGAGAAAATGTGGTAGAGAGGGAGAAGATGGGCTTGAGAGGGAGAAGATGGGCTTGAGAGGGAGAAGATGGGCTTGAGAGGGAGAAGATGGGCTTGAGAGGGAGAAGATGGGCTTGAGAGGGAGAAGATGGGCTTGAGAGGGAGAAGATGGGCTTGAGAGGGAGAAGATGGGCTTGAGAGGGAGAAGATGGGCTTGAGAGGGAGAAGATGGGCTTGAGAGGGAGAAGATGGGCTTGAGAGGGAGAAGATGGGCTTGAACAGGAAGGGCTTTAGAACAGACGAGATGTGAGCAATTGTCTCTCACCATCTCAGATTGGCTGTCAGCTCTGGGTGGAATGCCGTGGCTAACCCTGCCCTGCCTCACCGCCACTGTCACTCGGTCCAACTGGCAGACGAGTGAAGAGAGTGGCACGACACACTGAGGACTACACTTGCGGCTCTTGGGTTTGCTGCTTCCTGTGCTGACCCGTTGCTGTTTCTACACACCGATACTTCTCTGCCGCCGTTCTATGTTCTCATGTACGTCGACGATTTGGTCTTTGCTACTGCTGACACTGAGGCACTCGCACTACTGAAGGCGGAGCTGCAGGAGAGACACACCTACACTGACCTCGGTGAGCTGCGGAGCTATCTTGGCTTGCAGATCTCCCGGGACAGAGCTCGGCGCACCATCACCCTAACTCAGTCACACATGGTGCACTAGGTCCTTCAGCGCTTCGGCTTCCAGTATTCCTCGCCACAGCCCACTCCTCTGCCTACAGCCCACTCGCTCTCAGCTCCACCTTCGGACGAGTCCGTAGAGCCGAGTGGTCCGTATCCAGAGCTTGTGGGTTGCCTCATGTACCTGATGACGTGCACACGACCTGACCTCGCGTACCCTCTCAGCCTCCTGGCTCGCTATGTGGCTCCCGGTCGACACCGAAAGGTGCACTGGGATGCTGCGAAGAGGGTACTGTGTTACTTCTGCAGTACATCAGGGATGGGGCTTGGAAGACGAGGTTCAGTGGTACTCACAGGACACTCCGACGCTTCTTGGGCCGACGACCAGGCGACTCAGCGTTCGTCACAGGGTTACACCTTTAGTCTTGGCTCTGGTTCTGTCTCGTGGAGGTCCACTCGTTCATCTTCTGTGCTCGGTTCCAGCTGTGAGGCAGAGATCTACACTGGGGCCATGGCTGCACAGGAGCTACGCTGGCTGACCTACCTGCTGACCGACTTGGGGGAGCGGCCTCGTTCTCCTCCAGTTCTGTACGTCGACAACAAGGTCACGCTTGCCTTGAGTCACGAACAAAGACTGGGGCACATAACGAAGCACATTGCTGTTCGCTACTTTCTTGCTCGAGAGTTGCAGCAGCGTGGTCAGCTTCGCCTTTCCTACGTGGCCTCTCAGGCCATGGCTGATATCTTCACGAAGGCCCTCAGGTCTGGTGATCATCAGCGTTTCTGCACTGCTCTTGGGCTTGTGCCCACTCTGCCTCACCTGCTGGTTGTTTGACTTGCTCTTG